CAAATCTTCTAAAAAGTGTTAGGAGATAACTACATATAAAATAATAATATTTGAAATCATCAAAACTATACAAGTTGCAAGAATGTAAAAGGTGCAAATTCCAACTCTCTTAATAATCTCCCCCTTTTTGATGATGACAAAACAATTATTGTTTGTAGGATTTAAAATTTTAAGAATCTCCTAAACTCCCCTTGAATTAATGAATACATGAAAATAAGGAGGCATTGATTCAAAATTTTTGTTTTTCAAAGATTTTATACAAAATCAAAATAATATCATACAAAATGAAAATAAAAAACACACAACGATAATATACAATAAAATAATTAAAAAAATACAAAAATACACAGGACAGAAATACACGATAAAACAATTAAAAAATACAAAAATATACTTGACACAAATACACAAGACACAACAAAAAATTTCTCCCCCTTTTTGACAACATCAAAAAATGAAGAAGAAAAATACTTGAAATGTAAGTAGAAATATGATAATCATTTGAAAATTTAACCTTGAAAGTGATTGAAATAATGTATGCAAATAAAATGAAAACATTAGATAAATAGAGAAATTCATACAATTTAAGAAGTGATATAACATAGATAAGAAAAAGAATTTATGAAAGGAATGAGTTAATTTAGACACTAAGATATAGAAAATCATTGCACTAAGCATGAATAAAAAATTATATATTTCAAATTTCAATAAAAATTATAAATGAACATAAGATAAATTTGAATTAAGAGATTAAAAGAGTTTGGAAAAAAATAACTACCACATATGGTGCTTTGCGCATTTTTTTCACATTTGTGGCACATTTTTGTGCATCATTTTTACTTTGGGATTATTTTGTGCCCCTTTTTTCACATTGCGAACCTTTGTGCATTCCTTTTGATTTTTTTTTTTATATTTTTATACAATTTGCAAGAGTAATTTTATTCTTTTCAAAAATAATAATCTAAAATTTCAAATCTTCTAAGTGCATAAATAATGACATTTATCCAAACCATTGTTAGATCTAGTGAGAGAGAGTCTGGTTTTCTAGTGAGAGAAAACCCTTTTTTTCTTTTTGAATTTTCTCTCCCGCAATTTTTCCTCCGGCTGGTGGCGCCGTCGCCGGTAGCTTCTTGGCGTCCTCGGCCGATGCCATGGCAGCTCCGCGTCATTCCAGTCCTCCCAGATTGGGCTGTAAAGGAAGAGGTGATTTGATGATCAGGGAAGGTTCGTATTCGGTGATCAAGCCAATGGTGATTGAAGGAAAAGGCAAGAAGATTGTGGAAGAAGATTGTTCTAAACAGGCAGCCGTGGATTCTTTTGAACATAATCTGAATTATGTTCCTAACAGTATTGAATCATCGGAGATAAAGAATACCATCTTGAAGGTTAATGGTTTTTCTGGTTTAAATCGTTAAGATCAAGACAGGGGAGTTTTCAACCCTTTGAAAGAAGGAATTCAAGGTTCTTTTAACAATTCTGATAAGGATCCTTTGAATGAATCCTTGAATTATAAAGAACAAACCGTAGCTGAAGAGATTACTGGAGCTTGGTTGAAGCCAAAGCATATCAAGATTGATTTAAAAAATGAGCAGGTTGAAATTTAGGAGGATGGTATTGTAGTAAAGCTTAATCCGGTGGCTGAAGAAAAAAATTCTTAGGTGTTGAAGATCTCTATTGTTATTAAAGTTCTGGGAGGTAATGTCCCTTATTCAGCCTGTAGTTTTGATTTGAGAAAACAATGGACCAATTTGGTGGTTTTCACATGACCTCAATCGGAATGAATTGGATACTTTGCTCATTTAAAAATAATGATGCGGTTAATGAAGTCTTAAACGGTGGACCATGGTATGTAAATGGGTATATTGTTGGTATGGATCGTTGATCTCCTGCATTTGATCCATATTCATTTAAAGGAATCTCAGCCTCGGTGTGGATCAGACTACCGTGCCTACCTCTATACTGCTGGGATGAAGACAGTCTTGTAAGTATTGCTTCTCGATTTGGCACACCTCTATACTTGGATGGAAATACTTTTCGGTGGGGAAAGAAGGAATTTGCTCGTATATGTGTGAAGATAGATCTGGAAAAAAAGCTCCCAAATGGTGTTTGGATTGATGGTCTTGCCGGAAGATTCTTCCAAAGAGTAGAATATGAGAAAATAAACTTACTTTGCTATCATTGTGGATGTGCAGGACATGAACTGAACACATGTCCTGAGAAGGTTGTACAGGGCATTAAAAATCAATTTAAGAACACGTCTGAAGTTATCACTACGGCAGGGAAGAAAACTGGTGGAGAAAATCAAAATGCTGTGACGAATGTGGAGTATGGTCCATGGATTCATGTACAGTTTAAGAACAGACAGAATTACAACAATTTTAATGGCAATAGAATTTACAAAAGCATCAGCAATAAAGAGAAGAATGTTATGGGGAAACAAATTCAGACAGGTTGTTTACAAGAGCAGATTGTTAAAGAAATTCCTATTCCTGAAAATGTTACAGACATTGAAGGAAATGCTGATATGGAAGTTAATTTAGGAACTGACATAGAAGGTATTCGACTGAATAATGCTTTTGAAATTCTAAGTGAAGAAAAGGAACTTGAATGTCCTGAGCTACAGGATGCTGATAAAAATCTGCTGATTAAAAGGAAGGAGGATATGAAAGATAATGTTATGAATGAAAGTAAATCCACTTTGTCTAATTCTGCTAGAATTAAACTTACCAAGGAACTGAAATCATTGGGCCCGGTTGATCAAGATATTAAGAAGAAAAAGAGAGATGGATGTATGGTGTCCATGAGAGGGGTGAGTTCCCCTTCACTTGTTTAAATGTCTTCCCTTTTATTCTGGAATTGCAGAGGAGCTAGGAAGAGAGAAGCTGCTCTGTATTTAAAGGAAGTGGTTAAAGATCAGGATGGTTTTTTCATTGGTCTTATGGAAACAAAAATTAGTAGTATCAATAGGATGGATGTTGATGTCCTTATTGGTAAAGATTGGGATTTCTTTCATCTCCCTTCGGTGGGACATTTTGGTGGCATTTTAGTTCTTTGGAATTTAAAAATTGTTAATTTGTGGTTAATGATACTTCTTCTCAGATGATTGTGGGAGATTTATCTATCCCTAGACTGGGATCTTGGAGAATTGCTACTGTCTATGGTAGTAGATGTTGCAAGGAACATGAAAGTTTATGGGGCTTGCTTAATAATTGTATGACCAGATCTACTCCTTCTATCATTGGTGGGGACTTCAATTGTGTGCTTAATAAGGATGAGAAAAGAGGTGGTAGGAGGTTCCTTTTTACTAAATGACCTAGAGATATGAAGGAATTCATGACTAGCAATGATTTCCATGATGTGGGAATCATTGGACCAAGGTATACTTGGTGTAATAATAAGGAAGGGAATTCTAGAATCTGGGAGAGGCTGGACAGATGTATTCTGAATTCTGCAGCCTTGAAATTACTTCCTACTGCTGCTACTAGACATCTTGCTAGGGTGGCATCGGATCATAGCCCCATTATCCTCAAGATGAATGATAAGGTAAGGTTAAACTCTAAAATTATAAGGTTTGAAGATACTTGGAGATTGTATCCAGCGGCTAGAAGCATTGTTTATCACTCATGGAGGAAGAAGGACGGTGGAGAGGAAGGATTGATTATTCAAAAGAAGATTAACAGAACTTTGAAGGCCTTATTCTTTTAGAGTAGAAGTAAATGCAAAGACTTAAATGATCTTAAAGTGAAGTTGAAGATGGAAATTCTGGAACTTCAAACTAAAGAAGCCTTGGGGATTGGGTGGACAAATCAAGATTTGCTTTTACTTAGAAGCAAAATTCATGATCTCAATGTTACCTTCAAGAGATTATTTACTTGGTGGAATCAAAGAGCCAAGGCTAGATGGATTGAAGAAGGTGATTTTAACTCCAAACTTTTCCATAATTTTGCCCTGGCTAGAAGAAATGGAAATAGAATTAATCAAATAAAGGATGTTCTCAACAAGATGCAAATTGAAGAAGAAGACATTGAAAAGGTGTTTATTCAACATTTTGAAGCAAAATGGAAGAAGAGAATCTGTCAACTCTCGGGTTGGCCCGAGATTATGGACCACCAAAAATTAAACAATGAAGATTTCCAGGCTCTTAACTTGGCTTTTTCTATGATGGAGCTCAAGAATTCTGTCTTCCAACAAGGTAATAATCATTCCCCAGGTATGGACGGTCTTACATCCTCCTTTTACAAGCATTATTGGGATATTGTTTGGAAAGAATTATGGAATGCTGTCAATGGTTTTTTCACTAAGGGATGTATGAGAAAAGAGTGGAAAGATACTCTTATTGTTTTGATTGCTAAAATTAAAAATCCCTTGCTTCCATCCAATTATCGTCCTATTAGTCTTTGCCATACAAACTACAAGATTGTTGCTTCTATGATAGTCAACAGATTGAAGACTTGTATGTCCAAGATGATTTTTGAAGAACAAATGGCCTTTATTCCTGGAAAATCTATTTCTGAACACTGTCTTTTGGCTCAAGAGATAGTTCACAAGTTTAACAATGCCTAATTTTTTGATTACTCATTCCATGATCCCAAAGAAGGTGTTGCTCACTACGGAAAAACTTTGTAGAAATTTTTATTTGGAATAAGCAAGATGGTAGTTATGGTATTCACTACATTGCTTGGGAAAATCTGCGTAAACCAAGAAGTATGGGAGGCTTAGGTTTACATTCACCAACCTTGAAAATGGGTCCTTTAAGAGCTAACCTTTCTTGGAATTTTTTTAAAAAACCTGATACTCTTTTTCAAAGAGTTATGAGATCTAAATATGGTAATAGTATCTTGAAAGATACTAGAAAAAGGAGCTCTTCTAAAGCTTGAAAAATCCTTCTCGATGGTGGTAAGTTTCTCAAAAACATTTCTAGATGGAACATTGGTAATGGAAAAGATATTAATGTGTTGAATGATATTTGGATTTATGACAAATGTATCAATCAATGGTCGATGTTTGCTGACTGCTCTGCTTTGGAAGGAAAGTGTGTTCAACAGCTAATGATGGAGAATGGCCAATGGAATTATACTTTACTTCAGAGATGGTTCCATCCAGAATTATTGAAAGCTATCATCAACATACAAATTAATCCCTGCAGTGCTGATACGGTGGAATTGCAGAAATTCTGTCATGGGAAAACAGTCTCGGGTTTGGCTTTTGAACAAGTTTTAAATATAAGATTCAATTTAATGGAAGATGGTTATTACAAGTGGCTCAACAAACTCAAACTTAGCAAGAAGGTGGAAATGTTTTGGTGGAGACTTGGCAATGCTTCTATTCCTACCAACTTGTATCTTAAAAACTGTAAGCTTCTTGAAGATGATTTATGTGCTAGAGGTTGTGCTACGGTGGAGAATTATGAGCATATCAGTGTACAATGCAAGTATTTGGTGGAAATCATCAATAAGCTCATTGCTTGGGGTATTCCTATTCCTATTTTTAATTCCATGGATCATTGCCTTATTGAGCTTAAAAAAATTTCTGAAAAAAATCTGGGTGTGGTACAAATTTATTGTACTATTGTATACTTCTCTTGGAAAAATAGGAATGAGATAAAGCATGGAAAATCTGCTCTTCCTTCTTATTCAGTGGCTTCTAATGCTCTTTATGTAGCCATTACCAAATCTAATCCTTCTCTTTCTAACTTGAGCACTAATCTCTTTAGGGAGTCTTATATTTCTTGGTGCCCCCCACCGAAAGAGTGGATGAAAATCAATATTGATGCTTCCTTAACTCATTCGGGATTAGCTGGAATTGGTGGTATTTTTCGAGATTGCATTGGTAGATTCATTCTTGCTTTTGGGAGAAAGATGATTCATTGGGATATTGCACAATTGGAGATGGGTGCTATTCTCTCGGTCAAGGATTATGTCAAGAGCTGGATGAGAGATTATAAAGGAGTTATTATTGAAAGTGATAACTTGAATGTTATCAACTACATTCAAAAATCATTGAAGCAAGACAAAAGCACCATGATCTTCAATCTAGTAAGTGATTCTTTATTTGTGAATGACTTCAATAAAGTTGTTTTTGTACATGCTTATAGAGAACGTAATAAGGTAGCAAACTTGTGTGCTACTATGGCTTTAGAGGATAGTTTTTACTTTGACAGTTTTTCTTTTGATGATATCCCTCTCTTGATGGCTAATTTAATGAAGGAAGAATATCATCCTCCTGATGGTTGTACTTAGTTTTCTTCACTTTAATGCAATTAGCATTTCCTCAAAAAAAAAAAAAAGTGAAATATAAAATAAGGAATCATCGCAATTGCAATAATAATATTAACAATAAGGTAGTCTAAATGAGAGACATGAAATTTAAAATTCTAATAATATCAAGTTATAACCAAAACTTAAACCTAGAATAATTAGATTTTCTAATGAATTTAATTTTAACTTACAATTCAGGTTATAGCACAATTAAGATTAAAAAATCTGATGATTTTCATAAAGATTAATATACATTTCAAAAATAAGTTCAAATCAAAACACAAGAACTAATATTGATATCACTTTGAAGATATTACAATGATACATCAAGATATCAATACAAAATAAAACATCTGAAATAAAAAAGAAATACATCAAACTACTAAAAACAAATTATAACTAACACATAAAGTAAAAACAATAACAACACAAACATAACATCAAGTGCATCTATCAATCAGATGATCTCTAATCTGGAGGAGGAGCACCACCAAAGAGGTTAAAGTATGTACTCATCATAAGTGTATTGGTACTAATATCATTCATTTGCTCCCTCATATAGCCCATATCATATTGATATTGAGCATCCTGCTGCTGTAAATGAGTCTCAATTTGATCAAAGCGTTGATCAAAATGAGTCTCTAACTGATCAAATCTTTGAACCAAATCCTGATAATTTGTTTCATTAGTGAGAGCAGGTGCACCTTCTGGCTCTTCCTCTATATCACTTATGACATGTGTTTTACCTGATTCCTCCTTGAAGATCGCTCTAAATGATCCATCATTATAGTATTGCGGTTCTTCATATTCTTGATCTAGATGAACCAACTTGTATTTTTTCTCCATAACATGGGTAACTAAGTGTCCTAAGGCAATATTCCTTTTTCTTTTCTGTTATGCATGGCCAATTTCAGAAAGCCCATAAAGATAGTCAAGGATAAGTTGGGCTTCATCTATAGGCTCATTTGACATGATTAGAAAAGTCACCATAAAGAGAAGGGGGTAATATTGACTCTATCACCAGCTTTTGGAATGATTGAAGTTCTAAGAATGTGTTGGATGATACGTGCATTCCGGACAAGACCAGATACCATAGCCACATGCTCATTTAAATAATTTCCTCTAATTACCCTATTAATTTCATACCATTTATATTGATCATTGGTGATTAAGACATGGGCTCTATCTCCCTTAGTCCTTACATTTAGAAATGCTCCTAAGTCATGCTTGGTGATTTCAACTTTTTATTTGAAGATATAGGAGCGAATCACAGAGTAGTCAGAGTTGAAGGACATATTGGCTAGAAAGTAGTGAAAGGTTTCTTTGTTATAGAGGTGGACAAGGGTAAGGATAAAGTGAAACTGAGTTGAAGCAAATAAATGCATTACTTGAAAGGTAATATTTTCTTGGATTAGGATCCGAGAAGGGGTGATTTTGGCTGAAGCAACCCTAGGAAAAGAATCCTTATTTGCTTTGGACAAAACATTTTTGGATGAATTCCTATGTGGTTTCTTGGCTAATACCTTTTGACGCTTACTTGAACTGGCCATTTGAAAATGATCTAGAGTAAGAAAGGATTTGAAAGTCATGTTTAGAGAGTGACAATTGAGTTGAAAAGACCGCCTATTTATTGACAAATGATTCGTTCGTACCAGAAAAAAATAATTCATCCCGTACGAAACTTTCATTCATTCCGTACGAAAATATTTCATATAGACGATTCAATATGACCAAAATGAAACGGCTTTTCATAATCAATACAACTTATGAAGCATCCTTTCATATAGACATTTGACCAGTCTATTCGTACAGACGAACACGTATTCATCCCGGGACGATCAAAACTTATATCATTTTAATGGCAGTTGAAACCATCCCCTACATCAAACTGACATGTGTTCGTCCAGAAGAAGTTCATTCATTAAAAACTACCTTATCCATTCAACCGCTTCATTCATTCGTCTCGTCGATTGAAAAATAAATAGTCCCGTAGTATCATAACGATCATCCAGAAGAAGTGACCATTAAACACTAAAAAACTGCATGCAAACGGTTTAAAATCTGACACATTACACAAATCATCCCGTAAGAAAATTTTTCATCCCGGACAATTGTCACTTTAAAAAAATTTTTTGATTTTGCACACAAACAAAAACTAAAATAAAATAAAATCAAAAACACCATGTACAACAATAAAATGTACTTAAAAAAATCACATAAAAATAAGATCAAAAACTCATAATGAACACAAAAACATTAACTAGAAAATAAACACCAATGTTGCGGAAAATATTTTTATTTAAGCATTTTTATCAATCACACCAAGCCTTGTTCTTAATACACTGAAAGTATCAAAGGCCAAAGGTTTTGTAAAATGTCTGTAAGTTGATTTTCAGTATTAACATGAATGAGTTCAATTTCTCCCTTGGAAACATGATCCCTTATGAAATGATACCTTATGTCAATGTTTTTGGTTCTTGAAAGTTGAATAGAATTTTTAGAAATGCAAATAGCACTAGTGTTATCACAATAAATTAGAATAGTGCCTATAGTCAATCCTAAATCAATCAACTATTATTTCAACCAAAGTACTTGTGCCACACAACTTCCTAATACAATGTATTCAGCTTCAACAGTAGATAGCTACTGAATTTTTTTTTCTACTGAACCAAGAGACTAAAAAATTCTAATGAATTGACATGTTCCATAAGTGCTTTTTTTATCCACCCTACAGCCTGCAAAGTCAGAATCTGAATAACCAATTATTTCAAATGAAGAGCTAAACTTAGGATACCAAATTCCTAAGTTTTGAGTTCCTAACAGATATCTTAAAATCATTTTCATTGCTGTCAAATGTGATTATTTTGGATCTGATTGAAATCTAGTACACAAATAGACACTAAACATGATATCGGGGTGGCTAGCTGTCAAGTAAAGCAATGATCTAATTATCCCTCTAAATTTCTTTTGATCAACAGATTTTTCCTTAGGGTCCTTATCCAACTAAACTGAGGAACTCATTGGTGTACTAACAGGTTTAGCATTTTCCATTTCATACTTTTTGAGGATGTCCTTAACATACTTTGATTCACTAAGAAATGTACCTTTCTCAATTTGCTTAATGCTAAATCCTAGAAAGTAACTCAAATCTCTCATTAGACTCATCTCAAATTCACTACTCATTGTTTTAGAAAAATCATCACAAAGATTTTTATTTGAAGATCCAGAAATGATATCATCCACATAAATTTGAACAATGAGTATATCATTTCCACATCTCTTCAAAATGAGAGTTATATCCATATTTCCTTTTTCAAATGATCTTTCAAGTAGGAAGGCGCTCAACCTCTCATACCAAGCCCTAGGTGCCTGTTTCAATCCATAAAATGCCTTTTTCAACTTGAAAACATGATTTGGGTATTTAGAATTTTCAAATCCTGGAGGTTGTTCTACAGAAACATCCTCTTGTACTACTCCATTTAAAAAGGTACTTTTGACATCCATGTGATACAATTTAAATCCTCTAAAAATGGTAAAGGCTAGCAAAATCCTAATTGCTTCAAGTCTAGCTACAGGGGCAAAAGTTTTCTCAAAATCAATTCCTTCAATTTGATTATACCCCTTAGCTACTAACCTAGCCTTATTTCTAATGACTACTCCTTTGTCATTCATTTTATTTTTTAATACCCACTTTGTTCCAACTATACTTTGATCCTTTGGCCTTATAGTTAATTCCCAAACTTTATTTCTTACAAATTGATTCAACTCTTCTTGCAAGGCCAAAATCCAAAATTCATCCGATAGTGCTAGATCAATATTTATAGGTTCTATAGTTGAAATGGAGGCTGAATAATTGACTTCCTTATTTAATCCACGCCTAGTCCTTACACCCTCACTAGGTTCACCTATAATCAATTCCCTTGGGTGGTTTTTAGAAAATCTCAAATTTCTAGGCAAAGGATTTTCCATCTCTAAATTTCCTTCCACATTTTCTTCCAAATTCATCTTATCAATCTTTTGCGAGTTAATCTCAATTTCATCTTCTTCAACATTTGGATCTTTCATATTTTCAGATTCATCAAATACAACATGTGTGGTCTCCTCAATTACCAAAGTTCTTTTATTGAATACGCTATAAGATTTTCCAACATTTGAGTATTTAACAAAAATTCCTTCATCTGATTTTGGATCAAATTTTCCTAAGGCAGATTTTCCATTGTTATGAATGAACACCTTGCAACCAAAAAAATGGAATTGAGATAAATTAGGTGTTCTTCCTTTTAGTAACTCATAGGGTGTTTTATTTAATTTTGATCTCACATTCACCCTATTCACAACATAACATGCAGTGCTAATCGCCTCAGCCCAGAAATATTTTGGAAGTGAATATTATGACAACATTACTTGGGAGGCTTCTATTAATGTCCTATTTTTCCTTTCGACTACCCCATTTTGCTGAAGGGTTCTAAGGTGTAAAAAAGTTGTGATCAATTCCTTTTTTCTTATAAAATTCATCAAATTTTTCATTCTCAAATTCTCCTCCATGATCACTTTGTATAGAAATAATTTCACATTCTAGTTTTCTTTGAATCCAAGTTATAAAATTTCTAAATTCCTCAAATGATTCACTCTTATGAAATAAAAATCTAACCCATGTGAATCTTGAGTAATCATCCACAATCACAAATTTGTATACCTTCCCTCCTAGACTCATAGTTCCAACTGGTCCAAAAAGATGCATATGCAAAATCTCCAATGGTTTACTAGTTCTAAGATCCTTATTGGATTGAAAAGAAGACTTCACTTGCTTTCCTAGTTGACATGCATCACAAAGGTGGTCCTTAATAAAGTCTAATTTAGGTATACCTCTCACTAAGTTCATTTGAGTAACCCTCCTAAAGTTTTTCATGCTAGAATGACAAAGTCTTCTATGCCATAGCCATGACTCATCAGATACAGTTTTCAAACAAAAAGCAGTAGGA